AATAGGAAAAGGTTAGTTCTCATCTGGAAGCAACTAAAGTGAATGTCAATTCACAAAACAAGACTTTTGAATATTCTTAGTAATGGCAAGGGAACAGGAGTTGTGTCTTAACATCCCACAAGCCCAAATATTATTGACTGAATTTATTTGGGAATTTGATAAGGGAATTCTCTTCCCCATTCTCACTCCAGGTCCATTTTTTGAGTTTAAGATTTATATATTTAATAAATAAAACAAGCCAATCAATAGAAGCTGTTGTGAGATGTTGAAAATGGTAGTTAGTAAAATTAGATGGTGGGACTGTTTGATTACAAGCCTTACTTGTTAGTTGGTAGAGATTCCAAATTTATAGATTTAAGTGTTGATTTTACTCTATGAATACAATATCCTATTGTATATTGACATCATTGCTTTTATTTAATTTTAACTGTTTCTAGTTTTTGCTTGTTTTTATTGTGGTTGGATCATACTCTGGGGATGTTATTATTTTTTCTTTGATTTAAAATAGTAAATTGATTTTTTTTCAATTGATAGTATATGGGGTATAGTAGCCATCACATAAAAATGGATGCACATTACTGTTTAGGAAATTATAATTATTAGATACTACCAAAGCATTTAGGCAGCATTTGAAGCATCCTAAAAAACATTTTAAATGATTTTAAAGTAATGTTTTAAGTAATTTAAAATAGCTGATTCACTCTTGTCCAACTGCTTGTTTTTTCTGCCCAAGCAGCTCCCGGTCCACCTAATAATTAAACTTGGGTGCTAATCATTACCTGCTATATCACTGTGACTAAGGTCCATGTAACTTGGAAGCAAATACCCAAACTGGAATTGTTGAGTTTCACTCAAGAGTATTATTAGAAACAAAGAGTTTGTAGTTTCAGGACATCATTGCAGAATTGACAGAGACCTCACCCCAACCCATTTCCAAAGGAGCCAAAATCTTGAGGTAGGCAGTTACCTAGCTGATGAAACCAGTCTGGGCCAGGTCTGGTGGGTAGATTTAACAGAGAAGACATCGTGGTACAACCAACCCATGATCCAATCCACAGGGGGTAGTTGTAAGTGACCCTTCACAAAGTAGCTTCTGCTTGGCTTCTCCTATGCTGACCTGTCCCAGGTGGGCTTCCTGGATGGTGATTAGAAACAATCTTCTAATTTTTCCAATGTTTTCAGGGCCATTGTGATAAACAAAAATGGCAGTAGCCTTCTGTGAGGTGCCCCTGACCTTGCTGCTGCCCAAGAGCCTCAAATGCAGGTTCCCACCTCTATGATCACAGCAGTGATCCACTGATAGCAGTTATAATGCATTTCGTAAGGGATTTCCCTACTTTAACCTATTTAGCTTCATGGTTGCCAGATCCTTCAAGATATAGGTTTGAGAGCAGACCTCAAGTTACAGGTTTGAGAACAGAGCATGTGAGAGACAGAACTCTGCCTCATAGGTCAAGAGACGAGGCAAATTGTGAGAACTGTCCTATAATAACCTCAAATGAGGGAATCCCATTCAATTTAACTTGGCACAGCTCTCCAGCCCAGCAAAATATAGAATCTCAGCCATAAATCTATCCCTTCACTTGGAATTCGAAGCATCTCTTCTTAAAGAAGACTTGAGCACTGTAGATTTAAGTTGCCTACGATGCAAAGGTTGACGCTCAAAATTGTGGAAACCAAAGTTTAAATTAGAAGACCCTTTTGTTTACATTCACACAAGCCTTACCATTTTAACCACCTCCTTAAAAAAATTATATTACGGTAGGATGTAATGGGCTGATGCAAACTGAGCATTTAAACAAGTAATGAAATATTTCACTATTGCAAACCCAGCAAATGGAAAGCAGGCAGGATCTTTTCTGCTGAGATTATGGAACATCTTCCTAAGAGATGTCCACTTGGCTTAGTAGGTTCTGGAAGGAGATGAACCTTTTAAAAATCTCCCTTTGGGGGTGCACCATTATACTGAAGCTAGGTTTCCACCAATTGAGATGGGCAACACATAGAGTTAATAAATAAATAAAAATAAAAGAACTGCTGTTGTTGCTTTTAGCATCCTACAACTTTGTTTTTCCATATGCTGTAAGGATAACATTGTCACTTTGGGGTATATATCCTCAGTGAAATGGTTAATATTTCTGGCAGGTAGAAGTGTGTATTCAGGGGAAATTCAGAACAGAAGGCAAGTAATCCTATATCTAATCTAAAAAAGAAGCGCAAAGGACTTTCTCCTCTGAAAAGCTCCATGGAAAGCAGCAAAAGCCGTGTAGGTTTTTCCAGCAGGTCCCATTCAATTGGTGGCAGCCTGTGGAGGAGAAATTACCTCAGCAGAAGACTGCATGAACCCAGAAGCAGTTCACCTGGACTTTGTGCCACACAAAGCACTTTTGTCAGCCTAGTCTCCCTTGCCCTTTGTCCCTGTCTCTCAAGAATGTTCTTATGACTAGAGTATGTAGCAGTAGTCCCAATGTGCAAGAAGTTATTAAAACTTACTCTGTTCCAGTGGCTCCACCTTAAATCTGCAGTACCTTTAAGAAGAAAAGGCTGCATGGTATTTAGATACTGTAAATATTTCTCTGGCAGGAAAAAAAAAACTACTTTATCTCGAATACATACTGCATGATCTTGGATTTTCAATTGAGAGTTAATGCATAACCCCATGAGTGTATCCAGCCTGTGTTTTCCCTGCCCATTTGCTAGGCTGAAGAAATTACACATGGGCTGACTTAGGAAAGCAGACTTTCCTGTGACCTCTGAAAAGAAAGAAACAGAAACAAAGACCACACTGTATGTCCAAAAGAGAAGCCAAAAGAAAAAAAAAGTTGCCGTTTATGTTAAACCTTTACAAAATAATACAATAAATGATTCAATAAATAGAAAAAAATTACAAAATTACAGGATTTTTTTTAATACAGGAAAACAAAGAAATAACCTTCCCCCCACCCCCTTTTTCAACTAACTGACTAGCTGGCTCCAAAGTGGAGCTGTGCAACACACCAACATCTCCACCAACACTAAGGACTGAGAGGTGCCGAGCACAGGACGCAGCCCCACGCGCACAGAAAGGAGAGCCGCCTGGACCCCTTTGCCTCTTCATATAAGATATATATATAGATATATATATATTAACTTTTTAAACATAATCTTGTCTTCACAATAATCTAATTAGTAGCATGAGTTTGTTGTGGTTTGTTCCTGAGTAGGTTTTATCCAGCAGAAAACAAGTGGGATTTTGGAGCAGGATGTTTGTGGAAGTACGGAGCACCCTGCTAGTGGCCACTTAGAACTCCCCCACCACCCCCACCACTCCACGGGGAACATCAGTCATTTGTGAAGAGGCAGGCCAACTGCATTGGCAGCCCAACCAGTTGCCTAAAGCAGCAACATTGCAAGGATACCAATACGCAGATAACAATCCAAAAGATGCAACCAAAAGATCCTCAGCGCTTCCAAGGAATATGGAAGATGCACTTCTTGGATTGCCTGGTAGAGTTACTCAGAGTGGCAAAATGTCTCACATCCCATTGCCTTGGCCCAAAAGAAGGGAGAGGTTTTGAGGTATGAACTGCCTATCTACTAGCAACTCCGGAGGAACTGGTTGCTGGAGAAGACAGAATAGGAATCCTTCAGTTGTAGGAGTCTGAGGGGCATTAACTGGAAACAAAGCTAAAGAGGGACAGCTACAGAATAGGACACTAGCCCCTTTGAATGTCCTGGGTCCCCCTCCCCCCAGTGCAAGCCAGGGTCTGGAGCCAGTCTGTGACCCCTGAGCACAGTTGAGAGAAAGCTGAAATACTGACAGATTTGTGAGAGGAACGAACAGTATTCAGGAGACATGTCTGGCATAATTTGGGAGAGTGGAATGGTTTCTGTCTGTACAGTCAAAACAAAAGTGAGTGACTGAGTCAACTCGTCTGCCATTATGTGATATTAACATGACGGTTTGGAGGAAGGGGAGGAATGTAATGTGCAACTGAGTCCGTTCTGAAGACTGGGTGCTCTTCTGCTCTCGTCCAAAGCTACCTTCCATGAAAAAAAAGGAAAGTCCCTGGCTGAGGACATCTAGTCTATCTACCTCCTTTGTAGAATCCAACCAGATGAATCTTAGAACGTATCCCATTTGTGCGAACAAATATTAACTCGGCTGCTGATTCTTCCAGCAGGAAATAATGTCAGCTCACTAGTCTTGTCTGAGGAATTCTTAGACATGAGGGATTTGGTACCAGCTGCTCGAATGCTAGGGATGCAAAAAGGCAATGGGGCCTTAGGTAACATCCCAGTTCTGTAAAGGTATTCTAGGCTCCCAGCTTCTTCTATACAAGCAGAGGTTGTTCCTTCAGGTGCACAGAGGTGTGGGACCATAGAGAAAAGAGAGAGAATAGAGAAAGCTTTTGGAATTTTAACTAGAACACAGGAGGTATGATCCTACCTATCTCCCTCTAACTTGCACACCTAAGTCAGACCTCCACCATTACTGCATTTGAAATATAAGATCAGAACAGCAGCTGTGAAATTTCACGGGTTTTTCATGCCCACCATCTGCAAGACCATACTAAGTCCAGAGCCTTCAACCAAGGTGGGGAATTACTCCTACCATCCTACAAGTTAATACTGAAATCGGCAATCTTATAACAAGTTCAGGCTCAGATCCTTCCTGCATTACTGACAGGGCCAGTGAAAGAACTAGAGAGACCTTTTCACAAGAGTCTGTGCCCAGCACCAGGGATGCAGGCCCCCCTCCCTCACTTCTGAGGCTCCTGCCTGAAGCCCATCTGCTCAGGTCTCCATCTGGGGATGGGAGGAGAATGCTCATAGACAAAGAGTTCCTGAAGGTAGGCAGCAAACTCAGGCTCTGCCTGGCCACAGATTCAGAACACTGTGCCCCAAGGAAAACTGATCTTTCTGCCCCCCCCTCCAAGCCAGAGTGCTTCTGATCAAGGGGGAGAAATGTCCCTCTGATTGCTCCCCCTAAGTCAAAGCATGTTTTCCCAAAATACCCCCTAGCCAAAGCGTTCCCGTACAAGCAACATAAGTTTCTTCTTGCCTTTGTAAGTTTGTTTGAGATTGTCAAGGAACTGGCTAAAGCGTAGGTGCCCTTCGTGGGCCATCAGGAAGGTCTCACGGGCTTTTCCCAAGAACTCAATGAATTCACCATAGTGCCGTGGACTGATGTGGGTGAGGCGTGAATGGGTGGTGCTGATGTAAGCAGCCATGGCGGCCTCCAGCAGCTGGCAGAGTGGGGCCTTGTCCATGGCAAAGAGCTTCCCGCCAGTACCTGTGCTGCCTGCCCCACGGCGCCCTCCGCCCATTGAAGCAAGACCTGGGGGAGGAAGGCTCCAACGGTGCAAGATGTCAGAGAGCATGGGGGCACACTGCACGCTCTTGATGACAAGTGGGACAATGGCGGCCAACTCGTTCTTCCCCAGGGACTGGCTAAGGGAGCAGGCCCACAGGACATCGTTGAGTGCTGGGTGGGTGTCCTGGTTGAAAGCAATGTTGAGGTGTGAGAAGGCCAGAGTAGCCAGCTTGTAGGCACGAACGGGCAGCCCACGGTGCTCCATATACCGGGCTATGGTGAACAGGTGGGAGTGGCCCATGCCAGCTGAGGCTGCAGAATCTAGCACAATCTGGTAGGCTGCCTCGAAGGCTGCATGGTTCTTCTCACATAGTGTCAGGGCTGGCAAGGCACAGTTTTGTGGGTCCTTCATGGCACACTGCAGCGCCAGTGTCCGGGCACAACTGCACAGCTCATCCCGTTGCCCAGTACTCAGGCTCAGCCTCAGCAGCGTGGCATGTGTGGTCCCGGTCACTGCCACAATAGTTGTAGCCTCGATAGGTGTGAAGAGTGTGTACCAATTCTGCATAATATTCATCAGGGCCTGAACTCCTAAGAGCAGGGAAAGTGGGGGGAAACTTGGGGTTAGCCACAAAATAATCAAGTACTCACATTCCAAAGGGAAAACCCAAAACCAGCATGGGACTTATGTGGAGGTAAGCAGAAAAAAAGCCAGACCCATCCTAAATTCTGGGAAACCTCAGAACAATCTACAAGAGGAGCATACACCCAGTAGTCCCTTTTACTCACCTATCTCAGTGGCACAGCTGACCAACCAGCGCACCATTTCCCTACGACGCCAGGTCATGGTGTTGAGCGTCATGCGCATCACCTAGGGGAGAAGCGGTGGAAAGTGGTAAAGTGATAAAGAAAAAACGAAACATGCAATCCCTTCTGCGCTGGGTCCAAGCAGTTTGCTGCTTGTGCAACCCAGCATCTGTGTCCATGGGTGGCCCTCAGGTAAAACAACTTCCTCAACGTTTCTCAACCGTGGCAGTTTGTAGATATGTGGACTTCATTCCCAGAATTCCCCAGCCAGCTTGCTGGAGGATGGGGGGGGCTGATGCCGGGAGCTGAACTCTACGTATCTTCAAGCTGCCAAGATTGAAAAGCACTGCTCTAAGGTGCAATCTGGAAGGAGAAGTGGATGAATAAATAGCTATTGCCTGGTAAGAAATGGCATGTCTGCTTCCAAGAGAAAGATATGCTAAAACGCTGTGCTTCATCTGAGTGCCAAGCAAGTACCTGAACAAATAAGAACTGGAAATTCCCAGCAAAAAGCAAACTACCAGGGATTCATTTCAATAACCATTATTTATCATAAGGCAGAAGCCAGAAGCCATTAAGAACAAAGACCTTAAGAGGCACAGAGTTAACGCACCTCAAAACTATCATTTATTTCAAAAAGGCATGAACAGAAAAACTTGCTAGAAGATTGTACCCTAGTTTATTGTATGTGTTTGGGAGGGTGATATGTTGCTATATGAAATGGAATCTATTACAGAACCATGTCAGATCAAAAATGGTTCTAACAAAAGAGTGCCTGTCTAATTTTTTTGTTACACATCCTCTATTGCAGTTTTTCCCAAATGTGTCCCCCAGATGTTTTGGTCTATCATCTTCCTCAGACAACAGCAAAGTAGCCCTAAGGGACCCCTCCCAAAGAATCAGAGGCCCAGATGTACCCTCACCTGCAGGCCAAGCTCCAGGGAGATATTAAGTAAGGTGGTATCTGGAGGAGTGTTGGCTGGTGTGGCAGTCTTGCAGGCATCTTGGGCCAGTTTGAACAGCAAGGCTGGTGAATGAATATTCTGCTGGATGGAGCCCAGGACCATGCGCAGCCAGTTGGGGTCACCTGCAGGGAGTCATAATAAAAGTCCACAGTATGAGACGCCTGCCTTGGAGCTGAAGACAGGCCCCAGTCTTCCCACTCGCTATTCTGAGGAACAAGGCCTTTCAGAAGGGAAGACGTTGTGAGCCCCCAGACCCCTGACCTCTGCTCTCCTCCAGCACTGGATCTACCTTTAGCAGCTGTAAGCATAGCTGAGGCGAGCTCGCACTGTCGAGTCTCTAGGTGACCAAGGGTAAACCAGCGGGGGAAGCGATTGGCCATCATGGAGTCCAGGGGATTCTGGTGCAGGATGTCATTGGCTGGTAACACTGTCTCCAATACAGGAAGCCTGTGGAGAATGGGATGGAGACAAGTTAGGCTGTCACTATCTAGAAAGCAACCAACAGATGGAATGAGCAGGCTCCAGAAAGGGAAGATTAGCTCCAAGCAGATCCATGGACAAAATGTTTAATGAGAAGGGAATGGGAATCAGACCCAGGATATAGCCCCACAGAAGAAATTCTTTGCCACGCAGGTGTGACTTTTAGGACTTTGATCTGCAACATTAAGAAGAAGCTGGAAATAGCAATCTGGAGGAGGAAGGCACACAGTGGGGGGAGGCCTAACAAAGTGGTAAATATGCAGCAAGAAATGCAGAGAAAAGGAAAGCCCAGCAAAAGGAGAGGAGGGGATGTGAGTACCTCATGGCTCTCAATGCCAAACGGTAAGCCAACTCGGGATCATAGGGCAGCATGGCAGTGAAGAGGTAACGGGCAAAAGTATGCATGGGAACGCTCTCTCGGAACACCACCTCACCAAATCCACTGAAAGGCCCTCCTAGGAGGAACAGATATGTAGATGATGAATGACGACTGTACTACAACCCAGCTCAAAGCATTCAACCAGATGCCTACGCCATAGGAGAACAGGATTTTGTCACGGTGAGGAGTAGTTCCTAAGCAGATGATGAGCCTGTTGACAGTGGTTGGTGACCTACTGATATTCCCGGTCCTTCTGTGAATACGCCCATCCCCACAGAAAAAGCATCCCAGAAGCCCATTCATGCAGAAGGTTCTTGAAGAAGCCAACTTGTCCTCAATTACCAAACTCTTCTTTCTGCCAGCTTTTCAGAATCTGGCCCTGGCCCACTGACATCAATTATATCTTCCTGCAGTAACCAGGTCCAGGTTCAGGCCCTGCAGACAGAAGTTTACTACAAGCACACAGCTTGCCGTTTTAACACGAAGCCAAAGCAAGATGGCTTAGACTCTGCTCTTATTGCATACAGGGAGCAGGAACATGCTGCCTCTAGTGACCCAGGCGCTATTTGTGTGTCCGTTTCAGAACATTCTCGAGTTGTCTGCAAAAGGAACACCCCTCTGGAAACTTATTTGCTGAGTCATTTTATCTAATTCCTTTGAAAAAGAAGGAACTCTTTTTTTCCCCACAGCGCCTCCTTTCCTGCCTTTAGAGACAAGTCATTTCATTTCCAGAATACATGAGCAACAGAGCCTCGGCCTACTTCACTAACCATCCAGCAACAAGGCCGCCTGCTTGCGGAGCACAGGAACCAGCCGCTCGTCCAGCTCCATCTCATCTAGAAGTCCAATTAATTGCTCCTCGCTGCGCACCACCTTGTCCTGGGCATAAAGGCCCTCTGGCATGGACCGCTGCTGCCCCAACCCCAGCAGGGCCACCTCCAAGGCCAGCATATAATACGACTCGCCAGGACTCGAGGGCACTGGGATGTGCTGATAGAGGGCCTTCTTGGGCTCTGCTGGAGAATCTGGAGGGGGATAACAGAGAGGACACTTGAAGAGAGGACAGGAAACAAATAGCAATAGATCCACAGTTTCCCTTACATGTGGACATCCTCTTCTCTGGAACCAGAACTTACTCAAGTGAGAAGCTCCTGCACAGATGCAGCTCAATATGCACAATGACACTTTCCCATACAACAATCACCCTTCCGCACTCTAGCAACCATTTTCCACAAGCGAAAGCAATAAGAAAACCATTGTTGTCTCTGGAAATCTGAATGGCAACTAGAGTCTAGGACTGTGATACAATCAGGGCACAGCTCTAGGGAAGAATTGGCTATTTCAACCCCACACTTTGTCTCCTTGTTCCCCCCCCAATACCTGGAAACAGGACGAGCCCCTCATCATCCATTCGACAGGCCTCCAGAAAGGTACGACAGAGACAACCAATGGGGTCCAGAGGGTGCCCAACCCATCCTTCCAAATTGGTAATGCTTGTTGTGCCTTTGTGCAAGAGCTCTGAGGAGGAAAAAATGGGGAAATGATTCTTCAGAAGTCAATCCACATGCTGTGATTTCACCAACCCCAGTTCTGGCATCTGAAAACAATTCTCTACGCTGGAAAGCCAATGGGGAAAAAAAAACCACACGAATGCATCCGTGATCACTAGAGGAATAAAGTATGAAACTAAAGTAGAAAAACCCATCACCTGTCACTCTGAACTACTAGGAGCCACTCTTTCTTCCCAGTGTTTAAAGAACTCTGCTTCTTTATACATAAATAAGTCATGCCCATACAACCCCGGTGCTCTCCTTTGAAGCCTGACCTTGGAATGAGATACCCACACGTGCCCAAGGACGGCTCTAGGATTTCCCAAGCTCCCAGGACTTTTATCCAAGAACCTTTCCCCCTGGAGAAGCTGTTAAACTGACCTCCCTACCCACCCACCCCTCTCTTTGCCTGCCGGTCTTGCCTTTCTTTTGCTGCTTGTAGCTGTCCAGCTGATGACGTCGCTGCAAGCGCATGGCGTTGACAACGGCCACTGCCAGGCGCAAGGCCTCGCGGGGGTACCCGTGGGAGCGCAAGGCATCAACCCGTGCGCAGGCCATGGGAAAGGCATCGCCCAGCCAGAGTGGATGGCCTTGGGGATCAAAGCCCAACTTGTCACCACCGCTCTTCAAAGAGACACCATAGCAGTCACTGCTCAAGATCTTCTGCAGGTGGCAGTCCCCCCAGCGAAGCTCAGCAGCCTTGATGGCACGCCCAAAGACTGTCTGTCGAGCAGCGGCTGCCAGGGAAGAAACCAGTCACAGCAGAGGTTGGAATACCTTCATTCATTGATCCAGTGTTCAAATACATGTATGTAGAATAATATAAAATAAAAATAAGCAATTTACCCGTACAGTTTACTGGTTAGATAACAACTGTATAACATTCTACGTACATGAAGAATCCGGGCAACATTCTTATAAGGTAGGACACTGCAAACTTCATCTCCCTATTACCGATAACGGCCCTGACTGAGCAACCCATTGAGTGTGTTGGAGCTGGTGTTGAAGGCTTAGAAACTCTAGAGTGGGTTTCCTACCTGGGCCGCGATTTAGATTAGATGACAAACTGCTGTTGGTTCCAACACTGTCACAGGAGTAGTTACCCTCCTCCAATGGACAAATGTCCAGCTTATTCCACTTCTTAAGAAGCTGTAGCCAAACTGCCCGCTCTTCCAGCTTACAATGTGGGCTCAGAACCACACATACCCACAATGCACCTAAGACATAAAGAGGAAGTAACGCATAACAAGGTAAGCAGAAGCACAAAGTCAAATGCAGAGCCAAGGTTACTGTCTGAAGTCTACTGAAATAACAGTGGTGTGAAAACTCAGATCATTGACAGGCCAATTTCGGGGGGGGGGAGCCCATTCAGGAACTCCAGCATGGAAGAAAAGCATATATGCAAGAAGTAGCATACTATTTAGTAAACAAGTTGCAGCAGGGCTCAGAGGACTGGTCATCAGAACAAAGATGCAAAAAGCTAACAAGAGAGAGAGAGAACAGTGTGGTTTAATGTTTAAGCTGTTGGATTAGAACAGGCAAATTTGGTTCAGGTCCACCCGTGGATCTAATGGCTCAATGGATGACTCCAGCCACTCTCACTCAGCCCAGCCTGTCTTATAGAATTGTTATGGGGTAAATAGGAAGAAGGAGAAATATATTATACCACCTTTAATTCCTGGAGGAAAAGCAAATATAAATCTCTCTCTCTCTCTCTCTCTCTCTCTCTCTCTCTCTCTCTCTCTCTCTCTCTCTCTCTCTCTCTCTCTCTCTCTCTGTGTGTGTGTGTGTGTGTGTGTGTACACACTTTCTTTCTCTAAATAAAGACAAGTTAGAATTCAGCCTCTTGGATAGGGCAAAATTCTGTCCAAGGAATGGTGGCTTAGAACTAGTGCAGCTATGAAATGACATGCTTTTTCTTCTCCATCCCACATAATGATATAGAAAAATAGGCTTTGGGTTTCATGACATAAGAACCACTGGAATAGAATTTTGTTTTAAAAAATCTGGCTATAAAGCTTGCGTTTTACTATGGACTAGTTTTTAACACTTGATAAGACAACCATTAATAATCGTGTGATGAAAACCATCACCCTCATGTTACTGCTCCTGAAGGTTATCCAATTTGACATTTGTCTCCAGTTTTCCTGTCTGGTAAGGCAATTTCTCAGGTCAAGAGCTTAAGTGTCATACAATCATTCCCTGAAACTTTCCTACAAATCTAAAATTACAAAAAGTTATTCCCAGTGAGTGACTGAAGGAAGAAGTAGAATTTTTTCCAAGTGGAAAGCTTAAATGGATTGTAGAATTAATCAATAATGTTCTTCAAAAAAAAAAAACAAGAAAAGAAAAACATGTGGTATCAGGTGAATTAAACATCATCTATTTAGAGGCAACAAGCTTTTTTTGTCTTCAGGCTCTGGACTTGTATTTTCAAACTTCTCCTGCAAACTTGCATTTTAAAACAAAAGTCTCAATTCTGTATCAGCTTACCGAATTCACCTAATGTCATGAAAAGCCTTGGCCATCCTCTCTTTTGGGCAAGCCCTTCACTTACCAAGTTCATCCCAGAGTTGCCGGCACTTGTCAGTCATGCCTGCTCCCTGCTGCCGCCAGAGTGCCAGACGTGGATCCTGCAGAAACTGCTCTGTCATCAGGATGAGCATCCGTGCACCATTGGAATCCCGCATTCGTAGCATTTCCCGTACCTGGGGAAAGACAGAAGTGACAATTGTAGAGGAGAGGGACACCCCACCTCCCAAAAAACCCTAACCAAACTTTGCGGTCTATCAAAACAGCAAATCAATTTCCCCTAATTTGCTGCCTTCCAGATGTGAAGCTCCTAGCACAGTGGTTCTCAACCTTTTTAATGCCGCGACCCCAACCGGTCGTAAGTCGAGGACTAAACCGGTCGTAAGTCGAAGACTAAACCGGTCGTAAGTCGAGGACTAAACCGGTCGTAGGTCGAGGACTACCCAACCGGTCGTAAGTCGAGGACTTTCCCTGCCCAGGAGCGCCGCGCATGCGTGGTTCCGCCCCCTGCGCCGGCCGAGGTGTAGCTGGCAAGCAGCAGAGACGGAGCAGGCCGACCACCAGCTGGCCCAGCCCAAGGGAGGTAAGGCACCCGCCGGAAAAGGGGAAAAAAATGGCGGACAAAAAAAATGGCGGACAGCCTTGCTTGGCGACCCCCATGAAATGGTCGATCGACCCCAAATGGGGTCCCGACCCACAGGTTGAGAACCACTGTCCTAGCATCTCCAGAGAACAGTAATGTCGCCAAAGGTGACAGGAATTATAATCTGACACATCTGGAGGAAGCACATTGGAAAAGCTCACCATAAAGTCATGATGAAACACTGTGGAAATCTCACTTTCCATCTACAAATGGAGCTTGACTTCTCCATTCTGATTGCACTGATGGTAAGATACTTTAGTATTTAAAAAAACTTACATTTTAAACCACCTAGTAATATGCATATGGACAACTTTCAGATCATTTCCTAGTGCAGGCTGCCTTTTTATTCCAAGTCTACAAGCACCTTCAACCCAGCGTCTACAAGCAGCCCTACCATAGTTCAAACATAGAAAAGGGACTTCCCCATCACCCTTAAAAGATAAAGCCCCAATTTACACAAATTATCTGTAGGGGAAATATTTTCCTCCTGACAGGATGGTTGTTATCTCCACAATGAGACACAAAGATCCTTGTTCCATGGTAGCAGAGAAGAACAGCGACATAGCTCCACTAATAGAAGCGTGATGGGCTGGGCAACAAATGAATGTCAGTTTTTACCTTATTGAACATGGACTGAAGCTGCTTGCTTGCTCCATAATAACCCCCATTGGACAGTAGCTGCTTCACTTGTTCTTGGATCTGCTCCTCATCCAAGTGCCAACAGTTTGCATCTTCAATGCCAGCACCAGCTGTGGGATCTGGAGCACCTGGGAGGAGATGGCCAAACATTAGATGCTACATACTACTAATCTTCTAATGCTCCCTAACTCTGAAGGCATTGGATTTTTGTAGAAATTAACTAGGCCTAACTTTCTGCTTAGATATTACACACAGCAAGTATTTTCAAAATGATTCAGAAGAACTGCTTCAGGTATCTGTTATTCATTAAGTACACATTTTTCAGGCTTCTATGGAAAAGTGACAAAAAGATGCTACTGTTTCACGGAATCAATTTGTTAAGATTAAGGCAGCAGCATGGTTTTTATACTTGCAGAACAGCCTGAAAAGGGTCAAGTTCTAATAAATGACAAAAAGGTATTTTGTTCACATGAGTTCTTATGAACATATATTATTATTCCATAATAATAATGGATGGTTATTATGCCTCTACAGAGAAGGGGAGGCATAGTAATCTATCTTTAAATTTTCATTATTAAGAGAAGATATTTGCAATACCAGTACATGATTATCTCAAAGGACAGTTATATACATTTTAAGAAGTTTATTAAGGGTGAAATAGAATCAATCAAAGATACACAACCTGTACGTAAAATTTGCTTATCATAAAAAGTTGGAACTTCTAAAAGCTCTGAGAGGGAATGATAAGAGCTACTGGAGTCAGTTTGGTTTAATGGTTAAGGCACCAGACTAGAAACCAGGAGACTGAATTCTAGTCCCACCTTAAACATGAAAGCCATCTAGGTGACTTTAGACCAGTCACTCACTCTCAGCCCAATCCCCTCACAGGACTCTTGAGGGGAAAATAGAAGGAGGAAGGAATAGCATATATATTTGCTACCTTGAGTTATTTATAAAAATAATAAAGGTGGAATATTAATAAATAAGTGAAGCCATATAAGAAGCTATCTGCATACCTTTTTCGAAGGACATCTGATTAATGACCTGAGGGTATTAGAATGTGATGGCATGCTGATTTTATATCCTACTAATGGCAGTATGGTATTGTTATACAATGAAAGATTTGTTTCTGTTTGTAATTAAGACACTTTGCCCATTTGTTTATTGCTTCTGCAACCTGGTGCCCTCCCAGTATACTGAATCTAGACACATTCTGGAATTTCCAGCTGGCTCTGGCTAGGATTGATTGGAATTACGAATGAAACTTGGGGCTTTTTTTCAGTTGTCAATTAGGAAGCCTGGCAATCAGTTCTCGGTTTCCTCCTCTGTTTTTTCATGCAGTCTGATAAAACAGGGTTGGGGACATGTAACCAAGGCTGGTTGCTAAAGCCCCAACCTACAGCCATTCCCTGCCTCTCCCCGGGATCCAAGGCCAGCCCAACTTCATACCATGCACTCGGTTGATCTCAGAGCCCAGCAGCAGAATCTCATCAGCCAGCCTTTGAGCTGTCGGCAGCACTTCAGTGTGGTGGGCGCTGATCAGGTACTGCACAAACTTCTGTAGCTGATCCCGGTTCATTTGGGACAAGGTCTCTGAGATAGGCAGGCGCAGCTCCACCTGGTGGGCATGTCGGATGCGATGCAGGGACAGAGCCACCACGTGAGCACAGTAGAAGATGTCTCGGTTGTCACAGGCACAGCTAACCGATGTGATTTTGCAGCGGTCAAAACTGATGGAGACATGATAACTGTGCTCTGGCTCACTGGGGCCGGGCGGTTCTGTCACAATGCCACTCAGGTGGAAACCTGTGCATTCAGGAAGGAAGATAAACACCAGCAGTGAGCCTACAGCTTGGAGCAAAAGTCCATCAAATCTAGAAGACTGACATGAAAGAACAGTAGGCATAATTAGTTTTACTAGTAAAGTGGGCATGGATGAATTGGATTCTGAGGTGTAGTTAGGATGTCAAATCTTAGGATCTTGAAGCAATAACACAAAAGCTGACCTAATGCCCATGCTGAGAGAGTCATTCACAGAAGCATTAGCACCAACTCCGCAGTGAACAGAAACTGAAAGACCGACCAGGAATCTGACCCACAAGGGACTCAGACTGCTTTAGAAATAGCTCAATCATAATACAAGTCTTACTGAGACAGTACTGCCAATCCAGCGGATTATCTAGATGGGAGCGTTAGAGTAAAGAAGATGAAATCATATCCCTCCTAAACTGGAAGCTTTTTCAAAGCTCCTCTCCAATGTGTCTCCAACCCAGTACTTCTGGAAAGGGGATGGGATAAGAGTCACAGACCGAAATAACAGGGGTGGAGGCAGAGGCTTCAGAATAGGGCCATAGGAGGGGTTGCTGGATTGCACTGACCAAGCAGATGAGTCATATGTGATGAAAGTGGGCATCCTCACCAAACCAGTTGGGCACAAGGCCACACCCCCAACTCTGCTGTGTCACTCCAAAGAAAGGATCCTCTGCTACTATTGCCAGCTTGATATGGGTGACTCACATTAACTGCCTGATTTGGACCTACACCCAGGTAAGCCTTGCCCACACCTCTAAGGTAAGAGAGTCACTGGCTATATTTGGAATAACTATAAATAGAAAAGGGAACTTTCAGAGGTACATCTGAAGTAGTCAAGTGTAACCAACCCCCCTCATGATGGAAATGAAAAACAAAGATCCAAGGCTTTGCAAAATTACTTTCATCCTAGCACAGTCCAGGCACAATTCATTATAATACACCAGACTGGGAGGAAAAAACAAAATCTAGATTGTACTTAAATGTTTCAAGTAAGTTGGGGCACATGGCTCAATAGGACAGATCCGAAATATCAGAGATCACATGTACTGAATTGGTAATTATAGACACAATGGCTAAAATAGATTATCTTGTGCTAAAAATATGTAAATCTTTGATGCAATAACATGACAGGTATTGGGTATCTTTATGTAAAAGATCTTTTGATATTTTACTGCTATTTTAAAATATAAAGATAGCATATTCCTAAAAGATTCTTGCACTTAAACTGCAAAATTATATGCCATTACAATTTCTACTAACCTTATTTGAGTATATGAACCCCAACATATTTTCTGCTGAATAATACTTTTTTCAAGGTGGATATGCTCAGGAATACTCATTTACACCAATAAAAAGTTTGTACATTAGTTTATATTTCCAAATGTATCTCCAAAATATGTCTTGAAATACAATTTCCAACATTCTTAACTAACATACCATTACGTCTATCACATCAGAAAGACATCAGGTCAACATGAATAAAAAACAACTTAAAGTAGCAACGCAGAAGCTGCATAGTATAATACAAGAAAAGTCCAACTGAAGATGTATATCCCCAAAGGAGTTCCCAAAGGACCAGTCTTGGGGCCTATTTGACTAATATTTCATTGATGAAATATAATAAAACCTGGAGAATAGGAAATTATAGGTTTTTATTTTCCTCTGGATTTAGGATAAGGAAGGTGAATGAATGATTTCATCAAGCAGAATGAAAGAAATGGAACAAAATCTACATATTCTGGAAATACCGCATTTTAAATGATTAGTAAAGAACTGGTCATATGAAAATAATAGATGAAGAAAGAACTGAAACTTGCTCAGTCACACAGTGTCATGTAGTTGCAAAGTATGGAGATGTCATTCTTGGTTACCCAAGGTGGAGTAATTTCAGGAAGCTTTGAGAAGCATTCATATTTTTTGTATAGGTTCTCACAAGAGCCCATCAGGAGTGCAGTTCTGGTCACCCATTTTCAAAGAAAAAGAATTTCAGCTGAAGCAGATACAAAGAGGAGCCAACTAGTATACTTAAGACTAAAGAACAATGATTCAAAGGAAGCTAAGACAATGATGATGCAAACAGATAACGTAACAAGATAAAGCAAAAAAGCATTAATTAAAATGTAATTAATAAATTTATACCAAAAACTTGGAGTTGTGAACGTGAGCATAAGATTGAAATACTTATTTCATAAAACTGAATATCACATTTATAAAAAAATTCAGTTTTATGAAATAATTATTTCCACGTTTTGGCCTCCCTTTTATACCTGGCTCTGTCTCTTTAGCTATCATTTTGTACTTCTCTGTATGGGGGATACCAGATTATATAGTTAAAAACAATCAACAAGTAGATGGCACATGACTAAGTCTGCATATCTAACACTGTGACACAGAACTAGAAACAGGAAATAGATTTGAAAATTAATAGAGATACATGATTGTTCAACTGCTCATAAAATAGTGCAATATCCATAATGCAGTTCTTATTAATATTTACTGAGCACAAGATTTTAAGATTTTGTAGTAACTTACTCTGCTGCCAAACAAATAGAAGCTGAGCATTGTAGGTTCACACTAATTAAGAGACTGATTATATTATTTGGTATAGGAGAAACATATTATAGAGATATTTGGAGAATTATGTATTTTAATTACCAAGAGTACAAACTTTTTAAAGCTTGGTTATATTTTAAAAGGGCAATTAAATCTGCAAATTCAAATTATTAACAATTGTACCAACAACTAAAAGTCCAAATAATGAGGGTTCCTTCTGCCTTCTGCGTCAACCCAGGGCTCTGTTCTTTGGCTGCCCCAAAGTTGCAGGGTTTTACTGTTGCTTTTATAGACAATGGAATGTTTAAGGCGAAAGGGCATATCCCACTGGCAGTGGGGCCTTTAACAAGATTATATCCAAGTATGAAAAACTGATGCAATAAGCTGTGACAAGAGACTTATTATTTGGGCTTATACCATATCCACATTGGGGAGGGCAGTTATAAGCCCATGGACCCCTCTCCCCCCCCCCTCTCTCTTCTTACAGTTATTCTTTGGGGATAGGGAAGCTACAAATTAATCAAAATAATGGATCTAAAATCAGATTATGTAATTATTTAGTACAAGAATCTGGGACTCTGTCATTTCAATTTTTGCATACCCGTGCTTCCTGCAAAATAAGACCCTGTCTTATGTTGTTTTTTTGCCTCCAAAAAGCTAAAGAGGCATTATTTTCTGGGGATATCTTATTTTTTCCACTGTCTCACCTCGCCGCCGTGGCACCAATGGCCCTGTTCAGCAGGAGCCTGTGTGGCCGCCACTGGCCCACTTCTTCTGCAGCCGTTCGCCAATGTTCGCAGGCCTTCAGGTTGAGCATGTGTCAACCCGGGGCTCCGTTCTCGGCTGCAGAGGCCTTTCCTGAAGGCCTCTGCCGGCAAAACAGAGGTCGGGGGCAACACGTGCAAGCATCGATGAGTGGCTGGAGAAGAAGTGGGCTGGCGGCAGCCACATGGGTTCCTGTTGGACAGGGTTGTTGGTGCCGCCACCACGAGGAAAGGCAGGTGTCAGGGTGTGGGAAACCTGGCTGTGAGGGCCCTGAGGTAAGCGGGTGCAGGATGTGTGGGGCAGCTCCAACCCCCTCCCCCACCTGCCTTGCCTCACCTTCTGATGGCGGCACCACGAACAACCAGACGGAATGGGGGGTCGGCCAGCTGCGCAGGTTCTTAAATAGGGCTTATTTTGAGGGTAAGACTTATATTAGGTGCACCCCTAAAAATCAAGCTAGGGTTTATTTTCAGGGAGACACAGTATTTATGTTCCAGGATTTCAGTTTAAAAAGAGATGTAGTATAATAATTTGAGGAAGCATTTTGTGAAATGGTCAAATGTAGAATGGACTCGGTGAGCTGTGTATATTATAGATTAAATAAATCTAACTTTCTATAATTAGAGACCAAAAAATATATAACTTTCCTGAAATCAAACCACCATTTTCAATTGCATATTAACAACCAGTAGTTTCTCAAGTATAGTCAGCAGCTGTCAAGGTTTGGTACCAGAGCAAAGTAGTATCTTTTTTTCCTTTTCCTTTTTCAAGCAGCAACATTTACAGTATCATAATATGTTAGTGTGATTCATTTTTTTCTTCTGTGTCACTGGAGTATCAGTAACCATGTTTGGATGATACGTTTCCAGCTTGTTTCAATGAACTGCATTAAGAATCCCCTGGGCATATTTGAAGCTAACCCTATGCAAGTCCTGGTGTGAAAAAACAGGCCCAATAAAAACTTCTTACATTCACTGTAGACAGTATCAATCTTTACTATTTTAACTTTATTTTAGGGTTTTTCCCCCCAAAGACGTTTTTTGATCTGTTTCAAAAGCACAGCAGATTCAAAACATTCAACATGCAAACAGCCTTGCAAAACTAGTTTCCCCCTCATTTAGAGTACCTGTATTATTAAGCTAAAGCTTGAATAATTTGAATGCATAATGCAAAAAGACTAGAGTTGGAGTGTGTGTGTGTGTGTGTGTGTGTATTCCCAGTTTAGGCTTCAGAAAGTTCCAAATTTTAAGAGAAATGCAGTAGAGTAAATTATATGAAGAAACCATGATGGACCTGATGCAAAATATTTTAAACCTTATTTTTTCCATGTTTTACCTAAGAATAGCTTTTGCAGCTGACAAGATGTTGTCTTTCATTAGACACGCACCATATATCACAGTTCATAATGGGTAAAAGGACAATTGATAATCTGCTCTTCTTTCACTCCTACTAGTGTCAAATTCATGGCAGCTTACTTTGTTGAACATCCTCCTACATTTTTTCATAGAATAAATTTCTTTTAAGAAATTCTTTTAGCAATTGTAAAAAAGATTCTGTTTGGAGTGCTAGCTTGGGTGATTTGGAATTTCAGATGCAAAATATTTTGTAAAATGCACTTGCTTTTAAATGGGATTGTGTGACGGGTCCAGCATGCCTTCCCTGGAAAGCCAGTGAAT